CAAGCAACCCGGAGAAAGTGACTCTTAGACTCAGTAGAGTACAGGAGCAAGTCATAGAGATATAAGAGGTGACAGGAAACAAGACGACTCCTTGGAAGTAGAGCCATCCTAATATACGATAGGAAGGATGACCCCTGTTATAAAAATACAAAACTCCACCAACGATCCGTAAAGGGGGAGGGGGGGGGAGAGGGGGCGGGGGCGGCGCCTGCTGGCCGAGAGCCCCGGCGGTGACGTAGGCTGCCTGCGCGGGGAAGGCGGGAGGAGCTGGCGTAGAGAAGGGGAGGGGCTGTGGCCAGAGGCGGGGGGCGGTGGGGGGACTAGCCTGCGTGGGCAGCGTGCCGAGGAGGGTGGCGAGGCCGAGCGTGCGGTACGAGACGGAGGTGAGGCCTGGTGCGGGGGGGCGGGGAGGGGGGTGAGCGGAGACAACGGGGCGACAGGTGTCTCTGCCTCCGCCCGGCTCTCTCTCTCACCGAAGCGGGAGTTGGAGAAGGTACTCTCGGGTACTCTCGGGTACTCTCGGGTACTCTCTCGCCGAAGAGGTAGTTGGAGAAGGTGAAGGGCACGACGGGGCTCAGGCGGAGGAGAGTGCAGAGGAGGAGCGAGGTGCGCGGCCGCTGCGTCGCGATCTCGATGTCGACCGCCGCAGCCTGTCAGGGCCGCACGGAGGCTGTCGGAGTGTGGCGAGTCGGTGCGCGTGTGTGTGTGCTTTTGAGTGTGTGATGCGTGCGTGCGTGCGTGGAGGGGGCGGCAAGGCGGCAAGCACTGCCTTGGGCGAGAGCCGGTCGAGGCTGTATCCGGCGCGGCCTGCGATAGCACGCCTGGGGAGGGCGGTGGAGGTGGTGGTGCTGGAAGGGAGGGCGGCGGCGGTGGCGGCGGTGGCGGCGGTGGCGGCGGTGGCGGCGGTGGCGATGGCGGCGATGGCGGCGATGGCGGCGTGAGGCTGCGGCGTGGTCGGTGGCGAGGGCGGCGGACGGCGGTTGGAGATGGAGCTGTCGCGAGGGCCGGCAGAGGGATGCAGGGAGGAGAGGCCGGCCCGGGAGGGCGCAGGGAGGGAGAGAGGCGGCCGAGAGAGGGAAGAGGGCAAGCACGGCTAGCGCACCCAAATGCACAGCACATGACTGCAGCGAGCGTGAGTGAGAGCGAGACGACGGCGGTGCCGCGGACGGCGCCGAAGACCGCGCCGGCGAGCACAATGAAGAGCAGCGCCGAGAAGAGCGGCAGCGCCTGCAGACCGACCAGCAGCGCGACGTAGATTGGGTACGCCGCGCCGCCACGTGCGCGGAGCCAGCCGATGACAGCCTCTGCGAGCTGCGACATGGTCTCGCTGCGCGTCAGCCGGCGGAGGAGCAGGATCAGCAACGCCGTGTTGGTATACTGCATCAACTCAGACGCAACCGCCAGTGCCGCGAGCCCTCCCGCGTGCCCCAGCCCGTTCCCAGGCGGCGCGGGCGGGCTGCTTCTGCTGGCAAGCAGCGGCGCGCGGCGCGGGACGCGCACATCCCGGCGCGAGGCGATCGCGCGGCCGCTCAGCGGCTGCTGGTGCGCCGAACAGGCTGCCAGGGCAAGCGCCACCGCCACCACTACAGTCCTCGCCCACACCATTCTTGGCACATCAAAAAAAGAAGGAAATTAACCTCGCCGTGCAAGTGATCTGCCACACATCACACAACACACTCACCCTAGAGCCTTGTCGGCGGCTGCCCGCCACGGTGGCTGCGCAGCCGGGTCTCGCTGATGGCTGGTCGCGCCCTCGCAGCTCCAACCTGTGCTCGATAACCAGCCAACCTCCACCAGCAGCAGCAAAGGGCTCACGTGTGTGCCCGCGCCGTGATGTCTACAGCGGGATCCCCCCCCCCCCCCCCA